TTGGTTGCCAAGTTACATTTCTCGTCATCAGAGTGACAACAAAATTACAAGTGACAATTGTTGTGATCCCTCGGATACTCTCAGATAAACTGATAATTGGATCGGTTTTTTGCAAGGAAGAAAAAATTAACAGCAGCATTGAGTTTAATTGGTCTTGGTTTGACATTGAGGAGTCGTTAAAGCCAACAGTCTGACCCGTCATCCTGTTGATGATGTCACCCTTCAGTCATGCTGAAAAAAACGTAACCTTTTAAACATCTGAAACAAATAATGCAATACAAGTCAAAACTACCTGATTCTGGTTGCATTTTATGTTTCAGTAACACAAAATCTTCATCCAAAGACCTGAATTAGGCAAGGAAGCTTAGCATATTTCATATGCAACAGCAGTCCGGTGAGCTTTCCAGGAGCAAGAACAGCAACACCAACGTGACAGCAACAATAAAACAAACAAATACATTTAGATCAAATCAAATCCACAAATTAAAGTCAGATTAAAATTTCAGATAAAAGACAAAGTTAAAGGATGAGCAGTTACAGAGCAGAAGGGGCAGCGAAAGAAACATTCATTCAAAGACGATGAGAATGATGAATACATGAAAGTTGGGATGCACCGATACCAATATTCTAACATATTGGTATTGGTTTATTGGTATCGGTCCAATAAGTAAAACTGGGCCGAAATGAACAACCGATATTTTTTCCATCTTGTTTCCATTTGTGTATCTGTTTCAGATATCGGTATCGGCCCAAAGATTTCATATCGGTGCATCCCTACATGAAAGTTTTCCATTTTGAATTAAAAATTACTAGTGCCGAGGTCACGAGGAAGCTGATTGCATCTGTGTGCAACATAGTAGATGGTTAATGGCCTGTATTTGTATAGCACCTTCTTAGGGTTTTGCAACCCCCCAAGGTGCTTCACAACACAATCAATCACACGCTGGTGATGAAGAGCTACAATATAGCCACAGCTGCTCTGGGGTGCACTGAAAGAGGCAAGACCTGCTGAACACTGGCGCCACCGATCCTTCTGACCACCACCAGCAGGCAAGGCGTGTTAAGCATCTTTCCCAAGGACACAACGGCAGCATTCTCTGGTAGGTGCCAGGATCAAACCTGCAACTTTTCGATTACTGGTCAACCTGCTCTTGCTCTTGAGCTACTGCTGCCCCATTAGCTAAAAGCAGCTTCACCCAGTTTGGTTCTGACCCGGGGTTCATATTTTGTTACCAACAGGGACAATAGTCACTGAGCAGCTATAAGTGAGTTTACCTGAACTTCTTAAGTATAGAGGACATGATAGAAAATGATTCCTTAGAGTGGTTTAGCTCAACAACTGCTTGTGTAATGTAGCATGAATAGAACAAATTACTACATGGACCAGTCTCTTATCCTCTAAATATTCAGCTGGTGCTCTTCTAAGCAGTCATGGTCTTTGAACGCTCGCCTGTTTCAACAGCAAACGCAGATGAGCTCCACTCGTGTGTCGCTCATTCAGTCGAAATCTCACTCAACAATCCAAGACCAATTTGCTTTTCGGATGTTCGTCCAACATCAGTCAGTTTAACCTTTTTTGTTTTCATATGTATCGTTTTGTCGACAAGGGCGTTTGTTATGTGAAACAGAGTTTTGAGGGTCTGGTTTTCTAAAATCAGTAAAACAAAAGAAATATTTCTCTTTTATTTCTATTTTTCAATAAAATACTAAAGTTTTTATAAATTGTGTCATGCTAAAGCATTTCATTTAAGTTTGTGTGTCAATTTGATCATTTTGAACAACAACAATTTAAAGTGAAGCCAATTTAAGAGATGAAATACGCACCAAAAATGCCTTTATCAGATATGCATCACTTTTTTGCTGTTGTTCTCACAGCTTCACTCTGACTTTCAGAGATTCGTAAAATCATATTTGTGTACGATTTGTCACACCTAGTTGTAGGCCATGACAAAAGCAATCATAGTTGATGGTTTAAAATGAGTTCATTCAACAAAAAACAACCAACATGGATTATGTGCCTCAGCTGCAGACAAGAAAGTACTGCGGAGGGTCATCAGTACAGCCCAGAAGATCACTGCCTGCTCTCTGCCCAGCCAGGAGGACATTGCCAACTCTCGTTACCTCAGTAGAGTAGGCAATATCAACAAGGACTACTCTCACTCGTCACTCCAGTAACCATCTGTTTGACCTGCTACCATCAGGTCGAAGGTACAGGTCACATAAAACCAAGACAGAGATTCAGGGATAGCTTCTTTCCCAGAGCTATCACCGTATAAACAACCACAAAAAAGATGAGCCTGTTAACCCAAACCTCATATATACTGATCAATATTGATCACGTGCAATACCAATTATATATGCAATTTGAATTCAGTCAATATGCAAAAATTCTGCATACAGTATTGACCTGCACTGAACCCAACAAATACTACAACTCTGTGTTCATATTTGTACATATTACTGTTGATTTTACATTTACATCATTATTGTATTATTTTTTGTATTTTTTACATTTTGTACCAAAGGGAGTAGCACACCAATTTCATTGCACCCTGTACAATGACAATAAAGGCTATTCCATTCTATTCTAATTATCAAAATTAAGAAATAAACATTTGAAATATATCAGTCTGTGTATAATGAATTAATCTAATATACAAGTTTCACTTTTTGAATGGAACTATTGAAATAAATCAACTTTGTCATGATATTCTAATTTTAAGACCCGCACTTGTATACCAAACAGGTGCTAATTATCAATACAAGATGCAGGTTGAAACACAGTCATTAATTGGAACAACATACAAGCTGAATTTCTTCAAAAATTCAGGCCTAGTCCACACGTAGCCGTTTTTTTTTAAACGAATATTCGTCCCTCCAAAAACTTGCATCCACACCACCTCGTTTAAAAAAAAAACTCTGTCCACACGTACCCGGATAAATACGTTGTTAAGGACATGCCAGACCTGTAGGCGGCAGTACTTCCCCCGTTCTTAACCTCGTCCTTCGTCTGTGGTCTTCCGCAAGGAGCAGTAATTCCGCTTGCAAAAACAAACAAGCAAAAAGTGCTTGGACAATTAATAAAGCCAGCGCAGCTCTGAGAGCATCCATGCTGTCGGCTAGTGTAAACACAGGTCGCACACGTGATGTCAGCATTTTTTTGTCGCGGAAAGTGACGTTGCGGAGCTTAAAACTCCGGTTTTGTTCGTCCACACGCAGACACCCAAAACGGAGAAAACGCAGATCTTCACTTTGGCCGGAGTTTTTAAAAAGATCCGTTTTCGTGTGAAAAAACTCCATTTTCGTGTGGATGACAGGCCAAAACGTAGAAAAATATCTACGTTTTGGCAGATCCCCAGCTACGTGTGGACAGGGCCTGAGACTACATTTTAGGATCCTCCTTCTCACATATAAAGCTCGAAATAAACAAGCTCCATGATACATCAGTGATCTGATTGTTCCATATGTTCCTAACTGAGCACTTTGCTCTCAGACTGCAGGTTAACTGGTGGTTCCCAGAATATCTAAAAATGGGATGTGAGGCAGATCTTATAGCTATCAGGCTCCTCTCTTAGGGAACCAGCTCCCAGCTTTAGTCCGTGGGGCAGACACCTTGTCTACTTTTAAGACTAGGCTTAAAACATTTTTGTTTGATAGGGCCTATGGTTAAATTCTGATGTTAGCCCAGATTTGGACAAGTGGGGGAGTAGAGGAGGGTGCAGTGTACAGTGGAGAATACAGTCGGTAAAGACGGCTTTCCCTTGCTCTGCCTCCAACATGCTTCCATCTAAAAGGCTAGGTTATCTAGAGTTATCTATGTAGATATGCTGTTATAGGCTTAAGCCTGGGGCACAACGGAGTCAGGCGCACCATGCCAGAGATTTTGAGAAGTCAAGTGGTCACACAGGGCGTCGCTGAGCGCTTCTTGGAAAGTTGTGCGATTGTCACAACATCACGCGGGTTTTTTCAATTCAATTCAATTCAATTCAAGTTTATTTATATAGCGCCAAATCACGTCAAGAGTCGTCTCAAGGCACTTCACATAATAAACATTCCAATTCACAGTTCATTAAGCCAATCAGAAATAATGTTTCCTATATAAGGAACCCAGCAAATTGCATACAGCAATCCTCATACTAAGCAAGCATGCAGCGACAGTGGAGAGGAAAACTCCCTTTTAACAGGAAGAAACCTCCAGAGAATCCTGGCTCAGTATAAGCAGCCATCCTCCACGACTCACTGGGGATCGAGAAGACAGAGCAGGCACACACACACACACACACACACACACACAAGTAATGTGTCTATAGTTATATTGTGATGTCTTAGTAAATATTGCATTCGGTGAAAGATAAACTTTATTGTATTTATCCTAGTGGATCTATAATTAAACGGATAAACTAGTATTAGCACATCAAAAGTCAATGAAAACAAAAAGAACTGAGAACTTGAGAACTGAAAGCAGGAAGTGACTATTGTTTACACATGATCAGACTCGTCATCGTGTTTTGTGAGACTTGAGTTCATTAAAATGGGTAAGTACACAATTTATTTGAATATTTTAAGATCCATAGTACTTTCATGTTATCAAAACTGCGGCTGGGTTTGTACCGGCATTTAAGTTTATGCCGTAAAGCCGTTCCGCATCGTAATGTCTTTTGAAAAGTATGCTGGCGTGCCGCGGCACTTGGGATAGCACTGGTGCCTATCTTTAGTGCCTCGGCGTGGTGTTTTTGGATCGCGGCACTCCCCGTGTGCCCTCTCTCATTAACTATAATGGCTTCTAGGTAAAATGACGGCATGGCGCGTCCACCTCTGGTGTGCCCCAGGCTTTAGACTGCTGGAGGACATACTGACCATCTTCCACACTCTACTACTTTCTTCTACAATTTCTCTCTTAATTGCCTTAAAAACAAAAATGGCTTAAACTATTAATAAAGACTCATAGTGGTTGGGAGTAATTTCCAATTTGTACTCTGAGCAATAATTTGTTACAAAACCTCTTTCCTCCAAACATTGTGCATGGTTTAACATTGGACTACAAATCATTTGTTGTTTTTTCAAATCTATATGAAGATGTACAAAAACACAACAGATTCCACCACATCTTTGTTTGTTTATTTACATGGAACAAAGCCAAAATTGAAAAGTTCTGAAATCTTTTTGTATTGGTTTCATTTTAAAATTGATTCTGGAATTTTTCATCTGAAAGCATAGCTGGTTTCCAGGCAGATGATGCTGCACTGTTTAAAACCATTCTGGTTCGGTGGCTTGTGAGACGACATTTTCAATCTGCAGAGGAAAGTTCATCATCTACAAAGAAACAGTGAGAAAAATAATGTTTTTTACAATTTCTGTAAGATTGTATTGTCTTCTGCCGCTATGGAGTGGATTTTTAAAAATTGACTTTCAGAAACGTTGGATTTTAGAGGTTATGTCATCCAAATCTTTGGAAATAATATGGGTGATTTGGACTGCCAGTAAGATTTTTAAATGGAATTTATAGATTGAAATAAAATTAACCCCAAAATAATTTTAACCCTAAAATTATAAAAGTACTGTGTGCATAGCTGCCCATCATGGCTACATAGGTAATTGCTATTGTGTTTTTTATTTTTATTTTTTAATTCCAGAGGTGATTCCTGGATAGAGAAGCAGATCAGAGTGTGACCAACAGCAAAATGTCGTCACTGGAAGAGGTTGGTTGATTTTCATTCTTAGAGCTGAGAATTTGGCCCAAAGTTTTGCTTTGGATAAACACATCTGTCAGATGCATAAACATAAACATTAGATTTGGTTGCTACGAAACCTCTGAAGCATTAGAACAATTTTAAACAAAATTTGTTGTATAATTTTCTATTTATAAATGTGGTGTCTGGTACAAAACTATCATGTAAATGTAATGCAATGTATGTAAATGAATATTTTTGTGAGTGAGCATTTCTGAAAGTAATAAAATTATGTTGTTGTTTTTTTCAAAGACCCAGACCTGCAAAAATGAGGAGAAGGCTGAGAATGAATTGAGTGTCAGGCCTGTGGATCGACCTACCAAGAAGGCAAAGAAGCAGCACTTCTCTGACCAGTGTGACAAGATCAATGTTGAGATATCACCAGTGGATCCACACGGGAGAAAAGCCTTTTCCCGGTGACCAGTGTGGGAAATGTTTTAGTCAGTTAGGGAATCTGAAAGATCACCTGTGGATCCACACTAGGGAGCAGCATTAACGTGTGTGACCAGCACAAAGAGTTCTGTGTTCATTGTAACCTTGATGTCACCAATGGGCTCAAAACATTGTTTAAATAATATATTTATGCATTCAACTCAATGTGTGAAGTTTTCTTTCAAATACAAAACACAAAACATTGCTTATCTTTGCAGAACCAACCTCCTAAAATTACTGGCTTTACGATTTTGATAGGTAAAACTTTTTTGCAGCATTTCCAAAAATACTTTGAGGGCTGCTAGTCTTTTTGACAGCTGAGGTTCATCCCCCGTTTTTGGTCTCCATCAAAGGGAGTGGTCCCATGAGCGGCGTGACGTCATGTGCACAGGGTCAATAAGCTAAGAAGGTACTCAGACCACATGAGAGATGGTTCCCTACAGATTTCCCCATTTATGATGTCACAATCAGGGACCTTTTGAAATTCACACACATAATTTATTAAACCGAGCATTGACAGAAAACTGATTGGTGGGATTTTTCACGTTTGGAGCATTATAGAGGCAGTGGTGACCCACATGGCAGCCCAAAAGGATGCGAAAGGGGAGTTTTGCATATGTCCCCTTTAATTAAAAAAGTAAAGGGGTGTTTGAAAAAAAAATACATTACATTATCAATACAATAATAATAATTATTATTAGTTACATTAAACATTAATCCTAATTGACTTAAAGACATTTACAAAATGCAAAAATAAATAAATAAATAAATAAAATTAAAAAAAGAAAGAAACACTAGAAGTACATTTTTCTTGGTGCTAAAGTTGGAGGGATATATTTTAAATGACTAAAAAAAACGATAATGTGTGATGTTCCCAGTGGCCATCATATGAGGAAATCCATGAAAATGTGTGAATCTGTTGTGCTGAGTTTTGCCCAGCAAAACAATCTCTCTGTAAACCTGAGTCTAATTCACGCTAAACATAGAGTATAGATCATCTTAATTCAGTCACATGTTTACATTCCGCCTGTGTAATTGGCCAACTCATTAGACCACAACTTTAGCTCTTGTGATAATAGGTACTCGCCTGAGAAGAGCTTTCAGCCAGTTAAACTATTTACTTTGGACTGAACAGTGTTTGGGATCAATTTCTCCAGTGGAATAGAACAAACACCAGGTGCAATGCAAATACCAACGTATGCAGATGTGATAGTAGCACACGTAACACTTTATCCTTAATCCTATCTTCTAGGGCTGCAACAACGAATCGATAAATTCGATGAAAATCGATTACTAAAAGCGTTGGCAACGAATTGCGTCATCGATTCGTTGTGTTGCACAACTCTTCCAAAAGCCCCCTCCCCTCCCGCCCGCCGTTGCGCGCAGACCGCAGAGCCGGCAGGTGTTTGGAAGAGGAACATGGCAGAAGCAGCCAGACCCCAAAAAAGTAAAAACTTCTAAAGTTTGGGAGCATTTTCAGTTAAATCAGGCGAAGACATTTGTTACCTGCAACGTTTGTAGGTCAGACTTAGCATGGCACGGGAGTGCTGCAGTGATGATGCAGCGTCTTAAACGCAAGCATGTCAGAATCATCAGCGAGGAAGGAGAGAGCTCTGTGTCCGGGTAAGTTAAAAACTTTTCAAAAGTGATTCACCCAAGCCCCGGATTATTACACAGGCTAGACATGCCCAAAGCTCTAAAAAAAGTCTATAAAATCGTAAGCGCGACGTGACACTATTAGATAGGCGGGGGGGGGGGGGGGGGGGGGGGGGGGGGGGGGCTCGCGCCGCTGCGAACCGGTTCCGCCGTCACATTCCCGCAGAAACTGGTTGATCACACCGGGGCCAGACTAATAACATGTGGCTTTACAACCACAATGTCCTCAGAAGCGAAAATGCATTTAAAAGGGAGGAAGGAGTCCTAACTGTTGCTGCAGGCGTGTTGTGTGAGGGTGCAGTTATATACTGGTTAATAATTTTTGAGTTCAGTTGCTTTCATGTGGCCTAATGTGAGTCTATTTGGGATCATTGGAATGATCAGCAGCATTTCTTGATGTGACTTTATGGCAGTTGCCCAGGGCATCATCACAAGGAGGATGGCATTCATTTACTTTTGTTTGATTTGGTATTTTTTCAGTCATTTTTGGAAATAGTGATTAATTTTGATTAATTCACAGCCTATGTTTAATTACATTTAAAAATTAGTTGTTTGACATCCCCAATTATAATAAATGTCTACAGATGAGATCAAACAAAACAGATGAGAATTGCCCTTAAAGAGCAAGTCACCCCCAAATAAACTTTTTTTTGCTGATAAACTAAATAAACGAGTGTCTAATCGTGCTGCAGACACGTGTAGTCAATAATTTGGCACTTCAGTGCATCTTAGTTTAAATTTAAATATTCTGCCTAAAACTGGCAGTGTTGTGCCGTTGTCAGGTAAAAACTCTGCACTGTATTTTAATTTAAATCTGCCACCGCTATTGGCTAAGAAGTATGCTATGATGTGTATTTAGGCAACAGCATGTGTTGCATTTTTCAAACATGAAGTGGGAGTGGAGTTAGACTCTGGTAGGGGTTGACTTGCTCTTTAAGCTGTTTAACTTGGACCAATCATTTTAGGTCACAGATAGGTGTAGCTTAGGGTCTCTGTCTATACACCTTATAAGACAATTTAGGTGATGGCATGTTGCTTTTCTGCTATTGAACTGTTTTCTAATAATGAAGGAAGGAGAGAAATAACGTTTCCCTAGCAGTTTTTAAAAATGTCCCTATGTAATCCGATTAATCGATTAATCGTGTCGAGACCCCATCCGATTCATCGATTATCCAAATAATCGTTTGTTGCAGCCCTACTATCTTCTTAACTATTTAAAATTGGGAATGTAATCACACATTTGTTTATATTCCTCCCTCTGCATGCTAAATTTGATTCCTTTTCTTGAATTACACTTGCATATGCTTTCAGAGTCTGCATTTCTACTTTGATTGTAACACTCAAGCATCAAGAGCAATCTAACAGCATCTGAGACAAACATTCCAGATCATCTGGAATCATGTGTGCTGGAGGTTGTTTAAAACAGTACCTCTCTCCAGTAGACACTCAGCTGCTGCTTAGAAAAAATTGCAGAAGGTAAAAACAAAACTGAACAATCCAATTAGCGTGGGCTGTTCAGAAAATCCTGTAATTTAGTGCTTCCTCCAGTATCCAAAGTGTAAAATGCTGATGGAAAAAAAGGAGAATAATAAATGGAGCATGATAAGCGAGGGAAATTGCTGATAAAGAGAAAACTGTTACAGAGACTAATGTGTTCGAAAGCTGCCCAGTTATTTTATACGCTACCATCTCATCTCATTAGACAGCCTTTTGCTATTGTGATTGATGCATGAGAGCGCATCCAGGAAGGGTTTGCACTGAATGCTGAAAGAGAATGAGATCTGAACTGTTGGAACGGGGGAAACAGCTGGATGAAAGGCAGGGTTCGTGTTTCTCAGCTCGTTCTGGAAACCCAGATCTGATGGACTGCTGATGAGTGGTGGATGTTGTGGCAGATGAGGAGAAGACAGAGAAACCCACAGAGAGGTCAATAGTTTCACGCTGACCTGTGAAGAACTCCATTATACCTCGATTACATCTCTGACTCGCTCCCTTTTTCCCCCCAACTGGTGCAGCCAGCCAGTACAAAACAGTGACAGTAATGTTGCCAACTGATTCAATCGCAGTCCTGTTTAGAAAAAAATTACATTGCCTTTTCTTGCTCTTAACAAGCTTTTGCAAGGGCTTTGAATCAAACATAAAATCCCAATATGATGCTCTCTCAGTCAATAATTCACTTTTTCTTTTGATCCCGAAGCTTGTGATCACTTCAAAAACACAATATCTTTTGACAGCACCTCACCACGTTTATATGATCAATAGGCAAATGGCCTTGCCTTTGTAACGTCACAAGATGGCCTGCAATGAGACCCACAGGTCAAGATCTACAGCCAGGTCAACGTAACCTGGCTATGACACAACCGACAATATTTTCTCCTCACAGGAGACTGGAAGTCTGCACGTAGTCCCTTTAAATCAGAGCCTGCTCCTCACACCAGCTGGAATCAGAGCCTGACAGAGATAATAAAAGATAAACAATAGGATTCTCTCCTCCAAGGTCCATCACAGAGAAACTCTTTTAAATGAACTCCTTTATTCACAGAAGAAAGAAGAATCATTGTGAAACAATGAAATGTTCGTTCTGTGCTTAATGATATATGGTTGGCATGTTTACTGGATGAGGTCATCACCACTTCCACTCACACAAAGACAGTAAAGTTAAGTTAACGCATGACACATAGTTAACCTTCTGCCCAGATTCATAGTCTCCAGATCAAAGAAGGTGTGTCTCTGAGATGCTTGGTAATATCCTCAAACTTGTCAACTTTTGGTTGGCTAACCAATTCATAACATCAATCCATTAAAACTAGTCATTCTGGTTTTTACCTCGGTTAGAACAGCTCAACAGTTCGAGGGTTCAAGAGAAAAGCTTCAGACCGGCCATCTGAGCAAAGCCTCTTTAACCAGCAAAGATTTTGACACGTTGTCAAAACCTTTAACCTTTTTCGCACCTGCGAAGCTGAAACAACAAGATAGTACCTGCAGAACAAAGCTAACGCAAACTCCTTCAGAGTTATTTTTAAGACGCTCGGTTTCATCCAGCTGTTGTTACCTGGAGATGACCCTGGACCAACCTGGCCGTGCTTAGGGGTTAATCTATGGACTCCGGTACCGGGGGTCTCCGACCTCCCTCCTGACATCTCGTATCCGAAAGGCGTCTCCACTTGGGTACGTAGAACACAGTGAAATTGAGTCTGTATGTGGTTTTGATAATAACAACTTTATAGCTTATTTGCAAACCAAATTCTTTCCATCCAGAACTCAGATTTATGAGATACGGAGATTCTGAACACATTATATTCACACATAAGTTAACCAACCTTTAGTTCCATCCATCACTGTAAATGCTTAGTTAATCTGTCAAGTTAATTGTTTGTAAAATAAATTCTTACTTTTATAAACCTGACTGTTTCTTGAATCAAAACAAAGTGTGTACAATCCCTTAATGAATAAAAGAATCCTAGAATCTTCTGACTAATCATCCTAAGACCAAGCACAGTGA